GAAAGGGGGGGGGGGGGGGTTGCGCCCGGTGTCGTGCGCACAGCAGTCTACAAGCTACACCTATGTAGTGCTTATTACGACTGCGTGACCGGGTCGAAAGCGGTGGTATCCGTGTCAGAATGCCATTTCTCCTAACGCTCCTTGGGCAGGTGGCAACCCGTGTACGGCAACCTAGCACTGCTGCTATAACGGTCCACAGCAACCGAGCCCTTGGGTCGGGTTGGGGGTAGGACTATAATGTCCTAGGTTTTTGGACCGGCGCAAAAACTGTGTATAGCAGTAGGTGTAGGGGTCGGAGCAAGAAATTTTCTATTTCGACCTATATATCTTGTCCCGCGGCTGGTGGGACCGCGTAGCACGTCTAAGGCATGACCTTGTTGCTTCTATCTTGGGATATATGTGTCCACCCCCGACTCGTCTGCAATGGTCTTGAATCACAGGGCCCAATACTCCGAAGAAAGGTCCGACATCGTCTGGCGAGCCTCCTCGGCAGCTCACGGGGGTAAGCGGATTACCGCCGCAACAACGTCTTCTATACTTGTAGCGGTATGTGTTGGTGTACCTATCTGGCGGTTTTTTTAGTGTGTCAGGCGATCGCTTATTTAGTCGCACCTGGTGTGAGCCCGTGCCGTCTGGGATAGCGGCAAAACATGTCGTTCGGTACGGTGGACCGTACGAGAAGGGATGCCGTTTAAGTCCTGCCCCCGTTGAATTAACGCCCCTCACTAAAGACCTCAAGGTCCGCCATGGGAATGATTGTGTGCTCCTTCAGAACGCATGGCGGCAGTGCATCAGGTTTGGCGTGCCATGCGCTGGGCGATCGCAATCAATAGACCGGGAGGGAGGCCTCGGAGCTGTTTTCTTCCGAGATCAAAAGTGTAGGACATGTGCTATTTCTGACGAAAAATGAAGTAGAAGTAAATAGTACGGACGCACTCTTGTATTTGGACGTCTACACTCATTGCTGGCACGTGCCCACAGGTCTCGCGGAGCCGCGCGGCTAGCGCAGTCATGACGTTTCTCGAGAGACACAGGCCTGCGATAGTGGCCGCGGCTGAACGGGAAGACTGCCAGAAAGCCGATGATGCCGAAGATGCGGACGGCCCAGCAGAGGTGGGTTTTTGGTTGTTTTTTTTATGCCACCGCTTTTCCATGCATGTCAGTCAGTGAGGTCACACTCCGTTTGCAAGAACCTAGGAGTTATTTAGGCCCCTTGCTGGTCGGTGTTGTGGTGGTGGAAAAGTCAGGCGGGTCTTTCCGCCCGGCGGGCTTACGTGGAGTTGTTTTTCTAGGTTGTACGTCCTCTCGAGTGTTTGTTGTTTTGTTTTCTCTGTTACACCCCAGTGAAAGACACGCATCTTGCTTGCTGCACCCCGCTGTTCTTGGTGTTTCACCCCCCTGTTCAACCCCACGTTTGTGTGCTCGGGGGGGGTACTCGAAGCAGGCGGCGCCAGCGGCCGGAGGTGGAGGCGACGTTGGTGGTTCTGGAAATGCCGATAACGACGGCAAGGCGGGAGACACCCTGGTGCTGCTGGACACCATGCTGATGTCGTCGTACGTGCAGTGCAGCCCCCCGAGACACAGCGCGCTGGTACGTGGTAGAGCGCCGACCTACGAAACCGAGATAGTTATGAAGGTTCGCTTGCAGCGGGCGGAGACCGATGGCGACGAGCAGAGGAGTATAACACGGTATCAAGAACCAATGTTCCGAAGCAGCCGTGAGACTTGCAATGAACTCTGGCGCCGCCGACCATCGGGAGCAACGTAGCCCGCCAGCCTTGGTCGCACGCACACCCACAATTCTTGACTCTCGTTTCGGCAGTACGTCCATTTGGGACACCAACGAACAGTCCCATTCAGCACAAACCCACGCGTTTGACGCCTTTTCCGTGCCTCATCGCGAACGCTGCAATAAAAGGTGGAGCTTCTGAGCGGTCCCAACCGGTGCAGCCTGCAAGCCTGTGCCCCCCTCTTGGCCGCCAGCGGTCCCTCTTTCATCGAGGCCCTGCTGTGTCTCTACCGCGGGAGGGGCCTGCACGAGGACGCGCTGGCGCTTGCCACGGAAGACAGGCAAGCCGTCATCAAGAAGTCTTGCTGCTGTGCTGTCGCCGTTGTCTTGTCGTGGCGGGAAAGGAATTAGAGCGGAGTGTGGCGAGCGTGTTGATGTTGTCAAAAAGGGGGTAGGTGCAGTGAATGGCACTGGCATGTCCACCTTCCTCACGAACGGCTGCGCGATCAGCACCGCGCTGGGAATGTCGAGCTTGGCGTCCCTCCAAGGGGCGCCTCTCCATAACAACCGCCCAGCGTTTGGCCGACCCATGCCCCGTTGCTCCCGTACCTCTGCAACCAACCTCAGGTGCGTCGCTCCTTCCTCCTCGTCATACTCCGGGGGAAGCGGCGGCGGCGGCGGGGGGGGCTGGACCGCGCCGCAGTTCCGTCGGTGGCTTGCCGCCTACCTCCGAGAGCTCCGGCTCTCCTCGGAACCCGCGCATCGTGCCCTCGTTCCCCGCTCGGTGAAGCCGTTGCTGGAGGCCGACCCCGCCCTCGGCCTGTCCGTCTTCTTGGACGAGAACCGACAAGCAGCCGGCCTGAGCCACCACGGCGGTCTCCTCGCTCAGCGGCGGGTCGGGGGTTCCAGGAGGGCCGGGGGGGCTTCGGCAGACGGGAGACGGGCGGAGGCAAGCCTTGCCCCGCACGACGTGGTGTCGTTCCTGAAGACCATCACCCCGAGCGAGGTGCGTGGCCTGGACGGACGCCTTTTTGACACAGTTTGTGCATTTGGTGCCGGCAACGTTTGGCACATGACGAGGGGGGCAGGCAGTGCGCGAGTGGGCTTGTGTTTTTTGGCCTACGTGCCTCTTTTTTCCACGCCGTGTGGCGCCTGCAGGCGAAACGCCGACTTGCCTCTGTGTTCGGATCGCAAAATCCAAGCCCAAAGACACGCGTATTCTTGCAGAGCTGTCTGAAGTGTTCATGCTTTGGTGGGAGTTTTGCTAGCAGGCCGTCCAGACACATGTGGTGTAGAATTATGGGCGTACATCCATCCAACTCACCTTCACTGGTTGGGGTAGGGCTAGATATGATTAGTGTATGTTCCCCTTCTTGCCATGATATTCTTGCGGTACCCCCC